AGAGTCTCACAGAGTTTCCTGCCTGGGCTGGCTTTGAACTGTGATCCTCAGATCTCAGCCTCCTGAGTAGCTAGGATTACAGGCGTGAGCCACTGGCTCCTGGCATCAAATCATACCATTCTTCTTAAGCTCCCTTTTCTTGCTATACCTAATTCTCATCCATTTGCTGTATTATGAATTTGTGAGCCATCAGTTTCTAACTTCCTGTGATCTACTTGATAGGCTTAGTCATATTCTTTTTCTTCTATTTTCAGAACAAAGTATTTTCTTCTTTTATAGTGCTAATCCAGAATATAGGTCATTATTTATTCTCTTTCAGGTATATTCCTTTTATCTTCAACCCTTCTGTTTTATTTTCTTCAATCAAAGACGATAATTTTGAGTTGTGACTTAGAAGTAACAAAATAAAACCTTCAATATGGTGTTCCATTTTTCTTTTATGAAGCTTAACTGAAGGAAAGAATCATTTCAGTTCATTAGCTATAGAGCATACTTTGTTCTTTTTTTTTAAATGAGGAAACCTTTTAAACATACCAAAAAATAAGTTAGAACAATAAATACTCTATGTTTATTATTTAACCTTAACAGTTGCTGATATTTTGCCTAATTGTTTTCTTCCTTAGGTCTTCTAAAATAGAAATCACAACATTTCACTCCTAAATATTTTAGTGTTCATTGCTATAAAATAAAGGTGTTTGCCTTTCTTATAATATTCTTTTATTGCTTAACAATATCCATAATATTGCCTAATAGTCTGTTCAGATTTTCTCATATGTGCCAAAAGTAACTTTGAATCTCATTCACATTTAGTTTAGTGGCTTACCTACAAAGTGAAACCCCATCTCTCTGAGTGAGTCTGTAGCAGTCTGTGCATTTTTCCAGTGGCTATTTGAGATATTTTCATGTTTTCTTGTTTAGTATTTACTATTATGCTATTAAAATGCTACAATTTTACAAGAACTTTTCTATGATATATGTAGCTTCAAAATAAATTAGAATATTTTCAAAATTAAAAACAGATTGTACTATTCTTATAATCTTAGCTCTTCAGGAGGTAGAGATTAGGACAGGTTGGCTCAGGCAAAAAGTTCCTGAAGTCAGGCACTACTGGCTCACACCTTGTAATCCTAGCTACTCACCTTGTAATCCTAGCTACTAAGGAGGCTGAGATCTGAGCATTATGTTTTTTGTTTTTTTCTTTTGTTTGGTCATCAGTTGTAGGGCTTGAACTCTGGGCCTGGGCGCTGATCCTCAGCTCTTCTGCTCAAGGCTAGCGTTCTACCACTTGAGCCACAGTGCCACTTCCGGGATTTTCTGCTCATGTGGTGCTGAGGAATCAAACCTAGGGCCTCACGCTTGTAAGGCAAGCACTCTACTACCACTGAACCACCTTTCCAGCCCAATCTGAGCATTATGGTTCAAAGCCAGCCTCGGCAGGAAAGTCTATGAGACTCTTTCTCCAATTAATCACCAAAAAAGCTGGAAATGGAGCTGTGGCTCAAGTGGTAGAATGCTAATCTTGAGCAAAAAGCTCAGGGACAGTGCCAAAGGCCCTGAATTCAAGCCCCCAGAACAAGTACAAAAAAGAAAAAAAAGTTCTTGAGATCCGTGAACCAGCAGCCAGGTGTATTGGCATGCACGTTTCAAAGCATCTACTTGAGAGGCTGAGATCAGGAAGATTTTAGTTCCAGGCCAGTCCTGGTGAATAAAAGTTCATGAGATACTTTCTTAACAGGAAAAACTGGGCATTGTGGAATGTACCTTTTATACGAGATATGTTGGGAAGCATAAACAGAAAGATTGTGATCCATAAAAAGTAATACCGTATCTCTTAAACAGTGAGTTTATAAGGAGGCATGGTTCAAGTGATAGAACATCTGCATAGCAGGTAAGAAGCCCAGAGTTCAAATCCTAGTATCAGTGCTGCTCCTCCCTCCAGTTGTCAAGGCATTAGCAACAGGGATTCCAAGAATTCTATTATCCAGGGCTGGGAATATGGCTTAGTGGTAGAGTGCTTGCCTAGCATGCATGTAGCCCTAGACTCAATTCCTTAGTACCATGTACACAGAAAAAGCTGTAAGTGGTGCTGTTGCTCAAGTGGTAGGGTGTTAGCCATGAGCAAAAGAAGCTCAGGGACAGTTCCCAGGCAATGAGTTTAAGCCCCAAAAAGAAAATGAAAAAAATAATTCTGTTGTCCTAATGCACTCAACACTTGATTAGTATTGTTTGTTTTCTCAATCCATTAAGTGTAAAGTGTCTTTTTTGGACACTTTTTGCATTTCCTTGATTTTTAATAAGAGTAGAGATTTTTTCATATGTTTATTGGACTTGTTTTTTAATTTTTTCCCTCTTCCATTTCTGATACAGCGGTTTTGTTTTTGTTTTGGTTGGTTTTAGGGTTTGAACTCAGGGCCTGGGTACTGTCCCTGAGCCTCTTTATGCTCAAGGCTACTGCTTTACCACTAGCACTACTTCCAGTTTTTGAATGGTTAATTAGAAATAAGAGTCTCATGGGGACTTTTCTGCCTGGGCTGGCTTCGAACCAAGATCCTCAATTTTGGCCTCCTGAGTAGCTAGGGTTATAGGCATGAGCCACTGTTGCCTGGCAGTGGTCCTTATTGGTTAGAAATTATGTACATTGGGCTGGGAAGGTGGCTCAGTGGTAGAGTGCTTGCCTTGCATGCATGAGGCCCTGGGTTCGATTCTCAGCACCAACCACGTAAGCAGAAAAAAAAAGCTGGAAGTGGTGCTGTGGCTCAAGTGGTAGAGCACTAGCCTTGAGCTGAAGAGCTGAAGGACAGTGCCCAGGCCCAGAGTTCAGGCCCACAGCTGGCTCCAAAAAAAAAAATTAAAAAGAAAGAAATTATGTCATTTGGAGTAGTAATCCTTTGTCAGAATTAAAATAGAAGTCTTTCTATGAAATATCACTCCAGGAACATATAATAAATATTTGTATATATCTCTGACAGAGGTTCAAATTTTCTGTGCACTAGAGGATGGCAAAACAGGTAAGTAGTGTATTTCAGTCACAGTCTAGTGAATGGCAGTATAAATAGGTTAATAATAATGTTAGCGATTCCTAACCCGTATGTCTGGAAACTGATATTTACAGTCTGCTAGGGATCAGAAAGGTGTTCTACTAATGTTCCCAATAATTATCTGTCTTGACCCTTTAATTATGGGAAAGAATCCATAGAAGAAATATACCCTTTTCAGTGTGTCTTCCCAGGAGATATATAGTTATTTTTATTGCTGTGATTTTAACCTTGGTCACTTAGTTTCAGGTACCATCTGTAAATTTATTGAGAAGTATAGCATTTTTTTTTCATAAGTTTAGGGATGACTAGAGCCCATAAACTCATTCCTGTTCGGTGTTGTATATGTTTTACTTCTGAACTTCACTTTTGTATGATTTTTCTTTTATCATTTGTAAAC